TTTGTCACTAAATTACAGTCATTCTTTTAACATTTCTATTGTAAAACAGTTGACATAGGCTTATATTAACTGTTTAGCTAGCTTATATGTTACCGTGAACACTTTCACCGTTAAAACTGAAGCTCCATGCTGGAACATTTGGCCGCTGAGGTGGACCAGCCTAAAAATGTAACGTTTTACAATTTTGTCATCCAAGATCATCTTTTTAGGAGCTTTTTGATTCGGCCTGGATTTGGACTTGAATGAGCTGGACTTGAGTCAGAGTCTGGTCTTAAGTCTGTCTCAGGTCCGAGTAGAAGACCAGGGCCCGTATTTATCAAGCTTCTCGAAGTGCCATTTTAGTCTTAAGTGCTGAGAATTCATTAAATGTACTCCTACTTTCAAACTTAAGTATAAAAGCAAGTTATCAAATTTCTTAAAGCTAAGAATCACTCTTACTCTCCCAGTTATTTAAGACAGATCGAGAGGTCTCTCAAGTGGTTAGCAGTTGCCAGTAGGGGCTTGTGATGGCGCTGAGGAGACAGAGACGTGCGCGAATCTTTCAGGAGAGGAAGAATGTTCTTGAAATGTTTGACGATGAGCAGTTAATAAAACAGTTACATTTCCTCAGTTATTCAAACAGAAACGAGCAAATAATATTTACATTACCAAAGAACATCATAACTGACTTCAGTCTAACGCGAGTATTGTATGCTCTTTAAAAACACTCCCGTTATAATCAGTGAAGCTACCTACACTGTATCATGAATAAATCTCTTACCCCTTATTTATACTGCACATGTCTGCGGCACGTTACGGCTCCGACACGGACACCGGAGCGGATCCCGGCTACTCACCAGCAGCGCTGCGGCAAGTTTCTGAAGCGGCTCTCCGCGCTGCATCAGTAAAGATAGGCGCCTATATTTTTGACAGATAATAATAATAATAATCGTCTTGCTGTCGTCAAAGTAATCAGCAACAGGCGATATCTCTGATTATCGTCGATACACGATACTATCGTCTACTGGCACAACCCTAAATTGAAGGTTGTGATGACGATTCGTTTCCTTACCATAATGTATTCTCTTGAAAATTCTTTATTGTCAAATGTGTGTTGAATGTAAACTTCTGTTAGGAATTTAACCATTCAATGTGAATTTATCTGAGAATATTCTTAAATAAGTAAATCTATTCAGTGATTGGTCCATGCGTATTTCGTCATCCAAAATCCCCGTTTGTGGCACAGCAAAGTGTCGTGACTCAACCCTAAGACTGACACTTAAGATTTAGACCAGGTGTGTCCAAACTCGGCCGGTGTCCAGAAGAGTTTAGCTCCAACCCCAATTAAACACACCTGAACCAGATAATCAAGCTCTCACTAGGCATACTAGAAACTTAAAAGCAGGTGTGTTGAGGCAAGTTGGAGCTAAACTCTGCAGGACACCGGCCCTCCAGGACCGAGTTTGGGCACCCCTGATTTAGACCTACACTTCGCTTAAATTATGACTGAGATGCTTGATAACTAACTTTTAAGCGCAGCTTTGAGCCAAGAAGTTTTTTTTACACTCAAGTCAATTCTTAGCAACGTTCTTGAGAGTAATTCTCAGAGGCTTGATAAATACAGGCCAATATTTATAAGAGTATCAGGACCGAGCAGGGGGGTATTCCAGAAAGCAGGTTATGTGACATACCCGGGTATGTTTGAGGATAAGCGAGCGGATAACCTCAGCTTTCGGTTCCAAAATCGGAGGTTACTTTCAGGGTATGTAAGTAACCATAGTAACTTGCTCTTTGAAGATAACCTGCTCCGGAGCAGGTTACGTTCCAGGGTTAGTTCACTTCAGCGCACGTGTGATCTACTGGCGAGCCTTCAGCACACAACATTATATAATATTGCAGTATGTAATATATTTGTATGATATGTTAATGATGAAGCGCTAATATAAGTAATAAATAAGGTAATATATTATTCTAATATGTTATTATATTTATTTTATTGGCATATATAACAGTCATCTGTATAAATTATAAAACACTATGACAAGGTAATATTTAATTTATTATATATTTATTTATTACATTTTATATTATCTCACACATGGATCGGCATTTTCTATAATGTCTAAATTCTAAATCAAAATACATATCTGATATGACTTAATATACTTTATAATTGGCATTAAACAAATAATATAATTCATATTCTCAACGATTAAAGATTAAACGGAAAAAAAATAAAAATGATTGCACAACCATCAATTAGATGGCGATATGCACTAAGCATGTAAACGACCATTGAACAAAATAAGAAGAAAGAAATGGCATGGCGCGCTTTTTCGTCGCTCTGTTGAGAATGTCTTGAGTCTTAATCAGGAACATACTCCGAGTTGAATGAACTTACTCCCGGATGTGTTTTTGGAACCACATACCTCGAGTAAGCAAGGTTTGGGGTTAATCAATCGAAAGTTCAGGGTTTAGCTAACGGTAAGTTAACCGTGCTTTCTGGAATACACCCCTGGTCTTGACTAGTCATAGAAAATATGGTCTTGGACTGAGTCAGAGTTAAATGTCAACATTAATGTCAGATAGTCCTATAGAACATACAAAACCGCTTTCTCTTGACAATGTGATCAGCATGCAGGGATCTTATCAGAAAGTGCCTGGCTTGTAAAGCAACCGACAGGCTGACTATAGAGGAGGTTTTACCGTATCAGTGATTCACAGAAATGGTTCGCTTTGAAACTGTGTTTAACCGAAGAGAAAGAATGAAGGTGTCAGGACTGAAGCAGAAAAGAAACCAGCTGCACGTGACCTCAGATTTCATTGACACCATCAAAACCAGGAGTCAGAGCACAGCTTTCTGAATTACAGGTAATGTTGTTCAAGATATTAATTTGATTTGAATCATACGGCCATGGCACAGAAGATGCTTTTGAATGTGGTGTCTGCTGAAAAGACGCGATCACGACAAGATCAATGAAGTTGTGGTGCCTGACCTTTTGGAAATTCTAGAAGATGAAGACAAGATGCAAATTAATAAGCAAAAAGTCCTTCCCTGCTCCCCTCACGAGTCAAGGCATTGGCAGGCCTTTACCAAATTATTTAATATCCGTATTAAAATGACTTAATTATTAAAAATATAATGCTCGTCTTGTTGATCATTTAATTTCAAAAGCAACAATCCCTCCTTTTGCTACTATAACAGCTTACACTCTTCAGGAAAGGGTTTGGGATGTTAATTGAAGGGAGTGTTTTCATACTTTGCCATATCATCAGAAGATGCTACATACCTTAGATAACTGTAAAGGCGTTTGGTTATGTAAATGTTACTGCTCCCAAATGGAACTATATCAGCATATGGAAGTTTGAGAGTCACACAAGCCACACGAGTGAGTGATCATTGATTCAAATACATGAAAGAAATTCTTTTCCACACAAAATGCATGTTTATTATTTGGAACCAGTCAAATGTTCAAGTCTTGAGTAGTTTGTGATCAAGGGTTGAGCTCTACCAAATTACGAGCTCCAAAATTGCAAAATCACGTGTTCCACTAAGTACGATGTTGTTTTTGTACACATTTTTGCTAATAGTTTTTTAGTTCTGAAAATGTTTATTTAGTCACTTTATATTGTCATATTCATTGAATTCATGACAAAATTAATTACGGCAATTCCTTCTATATTTCTACTCATGGGTGCCACATTTGTGTAGTAGTTGTAATGTTTCTACAATTAATTTACTATGAACTCTTTGGTTCTGTTGCCTCTACAATGACCATATTCAATTTGTAAAATAAATCAATTATTATTAACAGAAACCACAGCATGAACTTCCCAAGATTTATTCAATGGTTTAGAAAATGGGAAGAAAAAAAATACACATGTATTTGAATGAATTTCCATTTCTTTTCCATGACCTGTCTAGTCATTTGTGCTTACCGGATTTTTTAAAACCTTTTGATTCATACAGATTAATGAATCATTTGGACCATTTTGTGAACAGGTTCTATGAGTTTTCCAGGCTTTGAAATCACAATAATAAAATATTTCACTGAATTTTGTTTTATCATGACAGCGCAGACCCTGCAAGTCACATGACAACAACAGTTGACTTTATTTCTGTAAAAGTATCCAAACACACAGGATGTTCATAGACATGAACAAACCGGGCTTAAAGGGTTAGTTCACCCCAAAATGAGAATTTTGTCATTAATCACTTACCCCCATGTCGTTCCAAACCTGTAAAAGCTTCGTTCGTCTTCGGAACACAATTTAAGATATTTTGGATGAAAACCGGGAGGCTTGTGACTGTCCCATTGACTGCCAAGTAAATAACACTGTCAAGGCCCAGAAAAGTATGAAATACATCGTCAAAATAGTCCATCTGCCATCAGTGGTTCAACCGTAACGTTATGAAGCGATGAGAATACTTTTTGTACGCGAAGAAAACAAAAATAACGACTTTATTATTAGAGACACAGAGGAGCCGAATTGTTGAATAAAGTCGTTATTTTTTGTTTTCTTCGCGTACAAAAAGTATTCTCGTTGCTTCATAACGTTACGGTTGAACCACTGATGGCAGATGGACTATTTTGACGATGTATTTCATACTTTTCTGGGCCTTGACAGTGTTATTTACTTGGCAGTCAATGGCACAGTCACAAGCCTCACGGTTTTCACCCAAAATATCTTAAATTGTGTTCCGAAGACGAACGAAGCTTTTACAATTCTCATTTTGGGGTGGAGTAACCCTTTAATGAAGAGTTAATTTAGCTGGGCTCCATTTTTAACTATATGTTGTAGTTTGGGCATTAAACATTCCGACTCTGTTCTGCTAAAATAGTTGTTTAGCCAAAATAACTTCGTACTACCTCTTGCATAAACTGACAGCTGTTGATCACTACAGGTAATTGAATTGAACAAATGGCCCATTTCAATATAACTGCTCTTTTGGAAAAAAATGCTCTGCATTTTGTATACCAATGACATACCATTTACATTCCTAATTACACACATTTTGCTCACTGCGACACTTCTGGACAATGTTTTTTCCTATGAGTCTTCAAGCCACTTGAATGAGTGAAACTCTTCCCACATGAAGCGCAGAGATACGGCTTCTCTCCAGTATGCAGTCTCTCATGAACTTTCAAGGTTTCTTGCCGATTGAAACTCTTGCCACACCGTAAGCACTTGTAAGTTTTTTCCCCGCTATGGATTGTGAGGTGGCGAGCCAAGTCACTGGAATTAAAAAAGCCTTTCCCACACTCGAAGCACACGCGAGATCTCACACCTGTATTGTTCTGCTGGTGCTGGTGTGAAAAATTCAGGTGTCTTTTTAGGACCGACGCTGAAGCAAACTTTTGATCACACTGGTCACAGGTAAACATACTTTGGTCGGAGTGAGCGGGCTGATGAAGTTTGAGACTGATGAGATGCGTGAAACTCTTCTCACAGCGCTCGCACGCGTACGGCTTCTCTCCAGTGTGAATCCTCATGTGCACGCTGAGGCTTCCTTTACACGTGAAAATCTTCCCACACTCAAGGCAGGTGAAGGGTTTCTCTCCGGTGTTGATTCGTATGTGTCTCTTCAGGTTTCCTTGCTGTTTGAAACTCTTCCCACACTGAGGACAGGTGTAAGGACTCTCTCCGTTGTGGGTTCTCATGTGACCCAAAAGGTTTCCTTTACGTCTGAAGTTCTTCCCACACTGAGGACACGCGAACGGTCGCTCTTTATCGTGATTTCTCAAGTGACTCAGAAAGTTCCCTTTGCGTGTGAAACTCTTTCCGCAGTCGTGACACGTCAAAGGGCTTTTCTTTTTAGGAATTTTCATGTGACACAAAAGGTTTCCGTTAAGTGTGAAACTCTGTCCAGCCTGAGGGCAGGTGAAGGATTTGTTGACTTGTGTTCTGTTTTGTGAGGAATTATTTTCAGTCCGGAAATCACTAAAAGATTGTTCTCCATTTATGAAATAATGAGGCGTCTGATACTGATGTTTCTCCTCCACTTCGTTCAGCTCTTCACGTTCTACTTTCACCACTTTTAGGTCTAAAATTAACAGAATTATGATAATGTCATATTAAGAGGGACGATATGAAACAAAAGGAAACGTTCTCTTTTTATTGTGAAAACTACAGGAGCTGAATGTGTTTATATGATTAATGTGTGTTTTACTGAGGTTCAGTGTTGGGAAGGTTACTTTGGAAATGTGATAGGTTACAGATTACAAGTTACCCTATTTAAAATGGAATATGTAGTGTAACTATTTCAATTACTTTATTAATGTAACTGATTACATTTGATTACTTTTCTAAATTTCTAATGAATGTTTTCAACTGGTAATCACTTTCAAACATTTAAAGCAGGCAGTGTTAACCTTACTGTAGCACTCAACACTGATTACTATCAGAAATCCTTCATCACTTGAATTAAGATTAATATAATTTAATTTTAAAAGCACAGCCACCACAAAATTAGACTTTAGCAGCTCTTCTTAAGGGATCATTCATAACAAGAAATAGTAAATATTAATACAAGAAATATTCAGATTGTAATAGTTAACATTTTCACAAGTAACTAATTTAATTACACATTTTTTCTCAGTAACCGTAATGGATTACAGTTACATTTATTTTGTAATTAAACTACGTAACGCCGTTACATGTAACTAGTTACTCCCCAACACTACTCAGGATAATGTTATTTATTTGTATTATTATTATTATGCATCAAACAATAAACATATAGAAAAGACAGAACCTCCACAGGAATCAAATAACATCAAATCTGCATGTAAAGTTTCACAAACAAAATTAAATAAATAATAAAATACAAATAAATTTAAAAGGGAAAAAATTATATTATAAACACACACAGAGAAAAACCTTATGCATCAGTGGTATTACAAAAAACAAAATCATAATATTTCAAGAATCGGTCACTTTTCTTGTTTTTAATCAACTTAAGTGATTTAAGAAATGCATTAACTTCAATTAAGAAATGTGAAAAAGTAAGCTGCGAATTAGAATTTTTTTTTTCCAAACATGTTAATGCTAATAAAACTTGCAATTCGAGGTTATGACGTTAGATGCATTTGATCAGATTTTAATTCTATGATTATTTCACTGTTCCTGTGATTTTATAACTTCAGCCACCAAATGAACTGGTGAACTGCTTGATTTTTTTTTTTTTCTCAGCGGTCAGTGCTGGGTTAGTTACTCGAATGTAATATATTACTCATTACTAGTTACTCCTTTCAAAAGTAATATTGTTACTTTACTTGTTACTTTCTGGCAACAGTAATTAGTTACACTAGTTACATTAATTTTTCTTCACGCCCCACAGAAGATGTAACTGTGTATCATCCACAAAAAATTCATAATTTCACCAAAATCCACATTGGATCGCAGTCAGAAGTTATTACAAACACTCAATAGTGATTGATAGTGATATTAGTGACATTCAAGTAAAGTGTTGTATTAATCTCATTAACTGTCATGTGTAGCTTGAAGCTAATTGTAATTTCTCCGTTACCCATATACGATTATATTTCATTATGTATTTTATCAAATCACATAAGTTTGTAAGAAACTGTTTAATTTTCCTAAAATATTTTTAATTATAGTAATATAATGTACCACATGCTGATCAGAGGGGTGTGGGTAGGATGTAATGCCAGAGTAAAGTAAGCCACAACTTACACAACAGTGTTCAAATCATCTTTTTTCCTGACAAAATCAATATAATGCAATATTTCTATCTGCTGGATGTAAGCTTTTCCATATTCCAAGCTTGCCTGCTGCACTGGGTACATCACATGCATGTGCGAGTCATGAAAATTATGAAAATAAATCTAGGAATTATTTGATTGTTGGATTTTAAATCAGCGGGGTTGAGGCATCAAAAGTAACTAAGCTGTTTTATGGATGGTCACTGTAATATTATTACTGAAATCTTATTAGTAATTACTTACACTACTAGTTACTACAAAACGTTATATTATTACAGTAACTAAAATACTAGTAACTAGTTACTGCCCAACACTGGCGGTCAATAACACCAACCTATTTGCTCGTCGTTATCTTCAGCTTTCGTTGTGCACTCATCTGGACTAACGCTATCTGAGTGATTTATTTATTTGTCTGTCTGTCTGTCTGTTTGTTTGTTTTCAAACGATTAATTGTAGCTTATTAGAAACAGGTAAAAGCCGTTAGCTATAAAGGAATTAGCAGCGCGAAATGTCTTAAAGGGGTCATATGATGCGATTTCAATGTTTCCTTTCTCTTTGGAGTGTTACAAGCTCTTGGTGCATAAAGAATATCTGTAAAGTTGCAAAGACTAAATGTGGAAAATAATGTGTTTTTTTTTACCTTAAACCGCATAAACACATTTCATTACACCAAATACACAACATAATGTTCTTTTTAGCAGCATCATATGACCCCTTTAACTCACTGGGTTTTGTGTAACGGTCTTGAAGACCCGTTTGTAGACCAATTCGACTTATGTTAAAACCTACTTAACCTACAGTTAACTAACTGATACATATATTAACTTATATTAACCAAAACAGTTAACATTCATTTAAAAGTTTGGAAAAATCAATTCTACGGTAAAGTTTACGACCAAACAAATGGGCTATATATGTTATCTATAAACAGAGATGGGCACATATACATGAAATACATGAAAATGTATTTAAAATAGGCTACAAATACAAAATACTGTGTGGAAAAATGTAAACATTTTCCATCCATTTAGATTACATAGTTTTAACATAAACAAATTAATAAACTCAAATGTGATCCACATTCGTCAGTCATATGTGAATGAAACGGGTAAGATTTATGTAATGGTTCACTGCAAAGTCTCCAGTGTTAAACATGTGTTACCACCAGTGTTGGGGAAAGTTACTTTTAAAAGTAATGCACTACAATATTGCGTTACTCCATAAAAAAGTAACTAATTACGTTACTGTAAGGGCTTTTATTAGTAACAGTACAGGTTTATCAGCTCAGGAAAGTCTTGAGGTCAGTGGAGTTTGCACTTTTTGGTTTCTAAGGTAAAAAAGGCTGTTTTTTGAGAGAGAGAAATGAGGCTAGTACAGGAATTACTGTTTATCGCAGCTATAACAGAGGCGAGAACAGGAAGTAACTTGTGTCTTAAGCCCTATTCGCACGGGATTAGTATTATCTGGGGACCTTGTGTGATTTTGAAATTAACCCCCCACATCTGAATACGGGATTAAGATCACAGACAAGCTCCGCAATTATAGTCACCAGGTAATACTAATCCCGTGCGAATAGGGCTTTAGACTTTCCACAGCGTTAAATCTAACTACCAACTGTTAAAATGTTCACACATGAATACATTATACACTGTAAACATTTGCAAAAGATCGCACTGTGTCAGGTCACTCCTGGACTCAAGCTCCATTTCCCATCAGACATCGTGGCCTTCAAACATGGCCTCCATGGACGCCAACTCCCAGCACACACTTGCGATCACACTGATTAGTCACACTTGTTTCCAAATACACATTTACTCACAGCCACAGTTTAAAAGGACTTTGATTCATTCAGCTCACTGCGAAGTATACGCTCAGTTGCTTTTGTCTCTGTGCTTTACCAAGCTTTTGTATCCTGTTTCCTACTTTTGATCTCAACCCATTTTTTGTACTTTGTACTAGTGATGCAATGTCCGATTCATTTCCGCGAACCGGTTCTTTTCAGACAGATCGGCTCATTGAATCGGTTCAAAAAGCCGATTCATCAGTTCCTGACGTCATCAAGCAATAACATCTCTACGCATTTCTTTTCTAACAACGCAGTGCCATGTTGTATCAATGAAAAATTCAAAAAATGTAAATTAATAACAGTCATAATAAACAAGCATATTTCCAGAACGCGCCTCAGGCTTGCACAGTATCATCAACTTACTCATCAGAATCTACGGTAATCCTCGGCAAACTTCGCCACGGCTCATTCGGTTCTTGTTGAGTCCTCGGTAAACAGTTGGTTGAACCGGCTCATTCAGTTCTTTTTGAGTTGGATGTGCTACATCGGCTGTGCATCCTGCGTCATCAAGCCGGAACTAAAGTTCGATTCAGTTCGATTTGTGAACCGGCTCGACCGGTTGCTTCCTGAGAACCGGCTCAAAAGAACGATTGGTTCAAGAACCTAACATCACTACTTTGTACTCGATCACTACCATGACACACTGGTATACACAAATAACACACTTCGGGGTCCAGGCGGCACTTACATGTTGTGCTGAATCACATTACTTACTTGATGTGTTTCAGGGTGGAGTTTTTTCTCAATATTGTGTTTGGCACTCATTTTTACTCTTAACATTTCTTAACATCTCTTAACAATGTTGTTGTTTTTTTCCTTCATCGTAAATAAAAGCACTGTTTTCAGTCTGTTACGTCCTCTTTATTTCCAGGTTCACCAGTAAACTTGAGATTTAATAGGATCATCTTTCCTTTGGGAGGAAGTCATTACCTCCACTGGAAACGAGAGGTTAAAGGAGGCATGCAGGCACACTATGCCTCCCGGAGACTATGGAGGACTTTTCCCATAATTACTAACTCACCTTGGAGCTTTCATAATTGTTATTAATTAATTGTTACATGCTAGTCTTTATAAGCTAATGTATTTTGACAGAAATGGAATGTGATTTCTTGAGGAGTATTGTCAATAGATAGACTGCTGCAAAAAAAAAATGGAAATTTTGACCCTTGAGAGATTTGGCCACAATTAATACTGCATTAACGTTAAAGGTCATAACTCCCACTATTCACTAGGAAAAACTCCTACTAGGAATTTCTACTCCGGACTGGTTCCTCAACCCTGAGTGCAGCAAGCGACATCAAATCAACCCAAAACGTTGACAAAACCATAGTATTTCTCGTTTTAGTAAACCGTTATTCCTCTTAATCTACAGCAATTTCCCAACAATTATAATTATTTTTTTTATTAAAGATCACATCCTTTTTTTTATCCCTTTACAGTTACATTTAAAGTTGTAGAACATCCACAAACCCAAGTTCAGATTCTGATCAGACTCAACTTTTTTTTAACACATTTAACACATTAATTTTATCATAAACTCTTGATTGAATGTCCTTATTGCATTCTGTTAATTCTCTGTCCAAAAAAGGCTCTCTTGTTCTCTCTATGCACTGATGAGCAACCATATGCAAACCAGATCTCATGTGAAAAGCAAACTGAAAACTGAAAATTAAACTTTTATTTATAATTTGAAAAAAAAGGAACAAACGCTGCAAAACATCTAGATTCTATAGTTTCATTTGAAATTTTTAAATGCTTTATTTACTAGAGTAAGCAACAAAGTAGAGCTCCACAAGACTCATTTCACAATAACAGAAGAGCTTGTTTAAATGGAAAACACACTCATTATTAACGACAAGTTTTGTTCACTGAGCTGCATTATATATATTTCTCTCTTTATGCAACACATGAGAGGTGAACCAGCAATGTGTGATCTCTCTACATGCACTGGTTCAGGCTGGTGCTCTGGCTCAGCGGTGTGGAAAGCGCCGGGTGACTCAGACGGCACGTGTAGGTTCTCCCGGAGCTCCAGCGCTGCTTACTGAGCTTCAGAACGCTGGTCTGGGAGAAGGTGCCATCGGCCTGACGCTGATACGGAGCCGTCTGCACCTCGTCCCCCGTCACGCCGCTGCTGTCCTCAGACCAGGACATGGTGACACCGTCAGGGTAAAAGCCCTGAGCCACACACACCACACTGACATCACCCTCAGAGAGCGGAGAAGCAGGAGGAGCCAGCAGGAGCAGAGACGGAGGAGACGATGGACGAGCTAAGGAGGAATGAGTTTTAAAACTAGAGTCAGTGAGAATGCCATCAGTTGATATGGCCATCATGGTTCAAATTTTATACAAAATTACATTTCACAGCAAAAATTCTAAAATTAATCAATTAATTCAATAAATGTAATTTATTCATTTTTTTGTTTTGTTTTAAAAATGAAGACAGAAATAGACAAAAATACAAATAGAAAGTGCATTTTTTTCTTTTTTATAGTACATTAGTTCATTGTTTATTTTAAATAAATAAAAGTCATAGTAGTTATCTGTTACAAAATATCATCGAAAAAAATTTATTGAAAAATAAACATGGAAATTAATTTATTAAATGATTACTGAATTATTTAAATTCAAACAATAATACCCTAAAATCAAAATTAATACATTAGAATCAAATACAGTTTAATATAGTTGGTGGAATATGATTGGATTCTAATGGGACAATAACGTGGCCATTAAGTTATATTTGGGTAAAATCAAATCATGTTCCACCAACTATGTCTGTCTTCATGAAAATGAACAGTAATCCTATTTTTCAATAAGTGCAAAAAAAAAGATTATGACTCACCGATCCTCAACTCGGTGCCTCCGCCGATGCTGCCATGGCACCGTGCAACAGCGTCGTACAAAAACCTGGTCTCCACAGCACACTGCTCCTGCTCACACTGAACGCCTCAACGTTCACAAAACTGAAGCTCAAAGTGGCAAATCAGGAGGAAATTTCATACATGTGGCATCAGAAATCGTAAAGAATGTTTTCTAATCATTCCTGCCTGGATTGGAGCTCCTGGACTGAATGGGACGGATCTTCAGGATGACTGAAACACTCTGAGGTTTTTGTACGAGTGGCTCATTGAGCTGCAGCACTGTGATGGTTTTGACAAATGATGCAGCCGCAGTAATACACCGCTTCGTCCTCAGCTTCCACTCGGCCGATGTTCAGGTACTCATCCACACCACTGTCTGTGTATGTGAATTTGCTGGACAGACCACTGGCTCTGGTGCTATCAGCTAGTAAGAACTTTGGAGTATCTCCAGCTTTCTGCTGGTACCATGAAATGGTCCAGCTACCACTATCATCTCTCCTGCAGAGAATCTTTACATCTTGTCCTATGTTCACGTTCATGATCTTTTCCTGGGTCAGATGCACTATGGCCTCAAACCCCGGGAAAACACAAGAATCCCAAATATAAACATGTGATCCTGAGATCTCTTCGATGGGATTTCCCATTGGACCCAACAACTACACACCAAGTTTATAAAATATAAACATGATGCTTGATAGCACTTCTCATGCTTGACAATCCTCCAGTCTTTTTGCTTTTTAACCTTGTTTCTCTCAAATAAGCTGGACATTATGTTTACAATACTCATTATAATGTAAAAATGGCTTCAGAGGGCAAAAGCCAAGCAGGAACTTTTGCGTTCATATTGGGAAACAAAAATGAATTGAAAAAATGTCTTACCCGAGAGAGAGAGGAGTCCAGCGAGAGCGGTGGTGCTCAGGATCATCATGGTTACTGGTGGAGGTGATCGGAGATTAGAGACGAGTGTGTATCTTGTGCACTTATAAGGAGAGGCAAAACACTTGGTATCTCACACACACACTTTCACCACATTAGTGCGTCTCCAAATTTGCATGCATGTAAAAAATAAAAAGAAATGGGGGCGGGGATTGGTGAGGGTGAGGGAGCAGATAATAACACCAGAAATTTACTACATATTATTTAAAGACTATTAATTTCAAAGAATTCTATAAAATGGATCTTATTTTTTTTTCCGGGTCGTTGCTTTGAGAGTGGATTGTTTGCTGCTACACCACAGCGCTGTTGATTAATTATCTATAACAGCAGCTCTGACAGTGCAACAGGTTTATATTATGTAATGTGCTCGTTCTGATGCATTCTCATTTCTATAGATTTTGATTTTAAAGCAGATTTTGTAGGAGGAGTTTGTACTTTGCAGTTTGTCGCCGACAAATTGTATTTGTTTTAATAAAAAGGGACTAAAAAAGATTCTAACTCATTTCACAGACTTTCCACGCACCCATTAAAAGATATGATGGGTTCATTAGTAAATAATGATCGTAAGGATGGGAAATGTGTGTGGTCTAAGAGGAATAAAACACCTCAGGATGTGTGTTGTTATAGGAAAATAAAAAAAACGTTCTGGCATGACTGTAACAGCACGCCAGCTGATGATTCATTTCTTATCATAGATGCTGAAAAAAAAAAAACCGAAACAAAATCAATCATCAATGCTAATAATCTTCTTTTATTTCATTTTCTCCCCTGAATATCTCAGTGTTAGCACTTCGCTACTGGATAATATGGTGATACTAAGAGCTTCAGTAGTTTTCAGATACTGTAAAAGTATCATTTTAACAATGAGATGGAAAAAAAAAATTATCTGTATGAGAACCAACCAACATTACAGGAATTTTGTCTATTAGCTTTGTTTCAGAAGTGCACACTGCTGTCTGTTAGACCTTCATTAGTGAAAGCAGAACTCTATTAATAGAGTTTCATCTGGAGGCCATGAATTTGCTTATACTTTCTGTTCTGGCTTTTTTCGGTTGAGCACGGTTGACTTTTTCCACTAGTGTGCTTCGCTTCACTGAACATTAAATCGCATTTTATATCCACAGCTTTTCAACAAACTCACACACATAATCTGACCTGATGGTGGGAAATGAGTCGTGTTTGAGAGCCCAAAAATTACTTGTTCTGTTCATTCATTCAGTCATAAGACAAGAAATTAGAGCAAATAGTCAACTTGTAGCTTGATTACGTGCCTTTCATACCTAGCAATATCTAGTCTGTTAACAATTCAGACCAAAATACTAAGCTAACACTGGCTGAAAGTGAGTGGCTAACAGTTAGCATTTTGTATACTGAAATGTGCTAATTGCTGTAACTAGATTGTGGGATACACTATAAGATTAAATATCTGTAATAAATGCTCTGTTTTTGATCGAAATAATTCGGAAATGATTTATTAATCAGTTCCAAAAAAATGTTAATTGTTCGATTTTTCTGATTTATTAAACAGCATGATGTGAATGCCGGAGTCATCGACAAGCTCCAGAATTCTTTTGATAAATAGGAACATTTTATTAACAAGACACAAATCTGATGAGGAAAATTATTTCATTTCACAGTAAAAAGTCAGGCTGATTATTTATCTTAGATCAAACACTGTACTTAATCTGTGGCATAGTTATATTTCTGTCATAACAACTCTCAGAGGGATTGGCATGGTAATGTACATGACAATGTTAATGTATTTGG